CCCTGGCGCTTTCCAGGATTTTCTCTCCTCCCTGTTTGGCATGGGAAATCCTTGGGAACACTGGGATTTTCCAGGATTTTCTCTCCCTCCCTGCTTGGCATGGGAAATCCTTGGGAACACTGGGATTTTCCACGATTTCCCTCCCTGCTCTCCCTGGGATGGGGAATCCTTGGGAACAATGTGATTTTTGTGGGAACACCAGGATTTTCCACGATTTTTCCTCCCTGCTCTCCCTTTGATGAGAAATCCTTTGGGAACAACATGATTTTTGTGGGAACACCGGGATTTTCCTTGGGAACACAGGGATTTTCCACGATTTTCCCTCCCTGGTCTCCCTGGGATGAGGAATCCTTGGGAACAACATGATTTTTGTGGGAACACTGGGATTTTCCAGTAATTTTTCTCCCTGCTCTCCCTGGGGTAAGAAATCCCATGGAACAACATGATTTTTGTGGGAACATCGGGATTTTCCACGATTTTTCCTCCCTGCTCTCCCTTTGATGAGAAATCCTTTGGGAACAACATGATTTTTGTGGGAACACTGGGATTTTCCACAATTTTTCCTCCCTGCTCTCCCTGGGATGGGGAATCCTCGGGAACAACGTGATTTTTGTGGGAACACCAGGATTTTCCTTGGGAACCCCGCCATTTTCCACGATTTCCCTCCCTGCTCTCCCTGGGATGAGAAATCCTTGGGAACACCGGGATTTTTGTGGAAACCCCGGGATTTTCCTTGGGAACACCACGATTTTCCATTATTTTTTCTCCCTGCTCTCCCTTTGATGGGGAATCCCTTGGGAACAACATGATTTTTGTGGGAACACTGGGATTTTCCACGATTTTCCCTCCCTGCTCTGCCTGGGATGGGGAATCCTTTGGAACACTGGGATTTTCCACAATTTCCCTCCCTGCCCTCCCTTTGATGAGAAATCCTTGGGAACATCATGATTTTTGTGGGAACCCCGGGTTTTTCCTGGCACTGCAGGGATTTCCCCCTTTTCCCGTGTCCCCCCCGGGGCAGGAGGAGCCCCCATCCCACCCCATCCCATTCCAGGGTGGATCCATGGGCAATGAGGACTCACTCGGAGAAGCCCTTCCACTTGAGCAGGTATTCCACCTTGCCCTTGACCACGCGCCGGTCCAGCACCTTCTCCACCACGTACTCCTCCTCCTCCTCCTCCAGCACCTCCTCCACCTTCTTCTTGTTCTGCTTTTTTCCCATTGTGCTGGCCAGCTTCTCCGCTTTCCCGGGCTGCTGCGGGGGACACGGCGGGAATCCGGGATTGCGGGAATCCGGGATTGTGGGAATGCTGGGAATGCTGGTTTGGGATGAGCCAGGGGGACTGGGGCCCCTTTGCAGCAGCGGGGAATTCCTTGGATCCCACACTGGGATTGAGGGGGAATCCCGCCAGGACCTGCTTCCAGGTGGGAATGGGATTTCCCACCCTGGCACACCGGGATTTTCCCTGGGAACACTGGGATATTCCTTGGCAACACTGGGATTTTCCTTAGGATTTTTCCACCCATGTTCCTCTCTCCCTGCCCCACTGGAGCTCCTTGGGAATACTGGCATATTCCCACCCTGGAACACTGGGATATTCCCTGGGAACACTGGGATATTCCCACCCTGGAACACTGGGATTTTCCTTAGGATTTTTCCACCCATGTTCCTCTCTTCTTGCCCTGCTGGAGCTCCTTGGGAACACTGGGATATTCCCACCCTGGAACACTGGGATTTTCCTATCCCAGATATTCTCCCTGACCCCACTGGAGCTCCTCAGGAACACCGGGATTTTCCTTGGGAACACTGGGATTTTCCTTGGGATTTTTCCACCCAGGATCCTCTCTTCTTGCCCTGCTGGAGCTCCTTGGGAGCACTGGGATATTCCCTGGGAACACTGGGATATTCCCACCAAAAACAGGAAAAAAAAAAAAAAGGCTGGGATCAGGGCAGGAATCCAGGTGGGAACTCCCGGAGCAATCCCAGTGGATTTTGACACAAAGATTTGGATTTCTGCCTTCCCTGCTCTTCAATTCCATGACAATTTTCTTTCCTGAAAACTGCTCCAGGGTTTTGTTTTCTTTTTCCCAGCCTTTCCCAAATTTTTCCAGCTCATTCATCCCAGAGCTGTTCAGGGAATCAAAAATTCCCGAAATTCCACCCAGTGCTGGCTGGGAATATTCTGGATTCAGAGCTGGGAATATTCTGGATTCTGAGCTGGAAAAGCTCTGGATCCAGAGATGGGAAGAGCCTGGATTCTGAACATTTTGGGGCATTTTCTGGGATCTGTTTTTCTCCCAGATTCCCACAAGGAATTCCCAAGGGCTGCATTCCAAGCCCATTCCCAGGGCTTTTTGGGCATTTCCCAGCTGAGTTCCGTGGATTCCAGGAGCCCGACCCTCCCCTCCCAGCTTCCGGAGGAATTTTGGGATTTATCCCTCTTCCCTTCCCACCCTTCCAGCCTCTCTCACAGCAGATCCCAGAGTTATCCCGCCAGAATCCCAATCCTGGGACCCCTCAGTTTTATGGGAAGCTGCTCCCAAACCCATCCCCATCCCAGGGACAATTCCCTTCTCCTCGCCCCCAAAATCCCCTTTCCTCGCCCCCAAAATCCCCCCGCAGGATTCCCAGGATAACCCCCATTCCAAACCCACTTTTTCCCGGGAAAAGCTTTCCCAGCTCCTTCTCCAGGCACGCGAATCCCGCCGGGACCCCACAAACCTTTCCCGGCTCCCAAAATTCCGGCAGGGTTCCCCCAAGGCAGCTCCTCCTGCCCTCCCAGCACATTCCCGACCCCAGCTCCGCCCCGAATTCCTGAATTCCCTTTCCGAGCCCGGATTCCCGGGATTTTTCCCGTTTCCCGCCAAAAGCTGTCGCTTGTCCCTGCCCGGTCCCGCTTCCCATCCAGGCCCCTTCCCCTCACAACGCGGGGTGTTTGCAGCCCCGGCCCCCAAAATCACAGTTCTACCCCTCGCAAATCCCTTTTTCCCTCCACAAATCCCAGTTTTACCCCTCAAAATTCCCCCTTTTCCTCCACAAATCCCACTTTTTACCCCTCGCAAATTCCCCCTTTTCCTCCACAATTCCCACTTTTTTCCCCTCACAAATCAAAACCCATCACTGACCCCTTCCCTATCACCCAGGATCCATCCCTGCACTGATCCCCAAATTCCTCCTCAAACCCCTCTCCATCACCCCAAAATCTGTCCCAACACTGACCCCAGCCCTAAAACCCTCCCCTACACCGATCCCAGCCCCAAATTTATTCCTACACTGACTCCATCCCCGAATCCATCCCTACACTGACCCCAGCCCCAAATCCCCTCTCCATCACCCCGAATCCATCCCTACACTGACCCCATCACCCCAAAATCCCTCCCTACAGACCCCAGCCCCAAATCCCCTCCTCATCACCCCGAATTCATTCTTACACTGACCCCAGCCCCAAATTTATTCCTAATTACCCCAAATCCATCCCTACACTGACTCCATCCCCAAATCCCCTCCTCATTACCCCGAATTCATTCTTACACTGACCCCAGCCCTACATCCCTAAATCCATCACCCCCAAATCTGTCCCTACACCGACCCCAGCCCCAAATCCATCCCTGCACTGCCTCCATCACCCCAAATCCGGTCCCTACACCGACCCCAGCCCCGAGCCCCCTCCCCGAGCCCCTCACTGACCCCATCCCCTCTCCCCTCTCCCCTCCCCGCCCCCAACCCCCCCCTCACTCTCCTCCCCCCCCCCCAGCCCCCCTTTCCCCCCTCCCCCCCTCCCCCCAGGGCCGCCCCGCCCCCCCTCGCCCCCCTCACCACCGACCCCCCCACGCCGCCAGTGGCCGCCGCGCCCCCCCCGCGGCCGGTGCCGGTTCCCCGCTGACCTTGCACAGCCCCGCCGCCGGTGTCCGAGGGAAGGGGCGCGGGGGGCGCGCACGGGGGTCGGGGGAGGCCCGGGCCTGGCCGCGCTCCGTCCGCCGCCCTGAACAAAAGAGCCCGGCCAGCGCCGCTGCCCGCCGCGCGCACCGCGCCTGCGCCGCGCCCGCGCGGGGCACGCCGGGAGCTGAAGTCCGCGCTGCCGCCGGGCCGCAGTGCGTTCCGTTGTGGGGCGCGAGGTGTGATGGGAGGTGTAGTCCGCGGAGAGCGGCGGCGCTGCGTGCGCGCGAGGCGGGATGGGAGGTGTAGTCCGCCGCGCTCGCGGGGCTTGATGGGAGGTGTAGTCCGGGATGGTCAGGCCTCTCCGTTCTGCCCGTTGTTAATTAAATTAGACTCATTAAGGAGGAGAAAGTCTTTGAGTTCAAGCCGTGACTCAAAAGCGCCTTTGTCCCTCAGGTCAGAGCCCCGAGTGCCACTTCCAGTGGGCTGTGCCCAACCTGTGCCAGCGCCCAGGGAAGGTCCTGTTTATGGGTTTCATAAATAATCTTATTTAGGGAATCTTGGAATCGCTCAGGCTGGAAAAGCCCTCTGAGATCGCCAAGTCCAACCATTCCTTTGGGGATGGGGACTCCAGCACCGCCCTGGGCAGCTGTGCCAGTGAGGTATCCCCATTTCCACGGAGAAATTCCTGCTGATGCCCAGCCTGAGGCTGTTCCCTTTCCTCCTGTCCTGTCCCCGGGAAGCAGAGCCTGACTGCCACGTCTGCCCCATCTGTCAGGGACTTGTGAAGAGCCAGAAGGTCCCTCCTGATCCCTCTTTTCTGCAGGATAAACATTCCCAGCTCCCTCAGGTGCTCCAGCCCTTCCATATCCCTCCTTGCGCCAGGGTAGGGGCGGCGCCCGCCACCACAGGAGGGCCCGGACTACAATTCCCAGCATGCACCGCACCGGAAGTTCCGGCACCGCCCGCGCTATAAAACCGCGCGCGGGCCGCCGCCGCTTAAAGGGGCCGCGGGCTGTGCGAGGTGAGGGGGCCCTGAGGGGAGGGCGCGGATTTGGAGGGGCTCCCGGTGTCCCCTCGGGGGCTCCCGGTGTCCCCAAACCCCCGGGAGGAGGCGGCGACGGCGGCGCTGGGATGAGCTCACCCCCGTTCCGCGGCCTCTCCCGGCGGGGCCGGCCCGGGGCTGGGTCCGGCTCGGGGCTCGGCTCCGATCCCGTCCCGAGAATTCCCAAAGAGCCTCGGCAGTTCCCCCCGCGGCGTTTTCCAGCCGGCCTGGGAGAGGAACAAATGGGGCTCATTCCCGTTTTCCCGGCTTTTCCCCGGGTTTGGGGGCTCGTGGCGGTCCCCGGTCCGCGGCCTCTCCCGGCCTGGGGCCGGGCCCGGCTCCGGTCCCTGTCCCGAGGAATCTTCTCCTTCCCTGGAAAGGCGAAACAGCCCCGGGAGTTCCCCCCGCGGTGTTTTCCAAGCGTGGGAAAGGAATAATCGGGGTTCATTCCCGTTTTTCCGGCTTTTCCCGGGGTTTTGGGGCTCGTTGTGGTGCGGGGCATTGGGGTGGGATGAGGAATCCTCTCCTTCCCTGGAAGGCAAAAGATCTTGAAAAAAGATCCTGAAAAAAACCCACTTCCAATGTTTTAGTGTGTCCAAGGAAAATAGGGAATAAATGGGGTTAATGAAGATCCTCAGGAACTCACCCACTGCAGGGAAAATCAGGAATAACTGGGGTTCATTCCCGTTTTTCTGGCTCTGGGTGGGAATGAGGATTCCTGCTGTTCCGGAGGGTTGGGAAAGGTTTTCAGGGGTGGATGAGGATAAAAGATAAGGAGCCCGCGATAACAATGAGCACTTTCCCTGGCAGGCATTTCCCTGGAAATGAGGAATTTCCCTGGAATTCTCTCCTTGAACCCCAATCCCGGGCAGGTGAGAGGCAGCAGAGCCTTTGGAAAATCCCGAATTTGAGGAAAACAACCCCAAAGTGGGAATCCCAGAGCACCTTCAATTGAGGCTTTCCCCAGATTCTGGGGGATGCAGGATCTGTGGAAAACACGCAGAAAGGATTTCTCTAAATCCCCTTTTTTTTTCCTTTCCCAGATGTTTCCCGCTGGGCTCTGGCTCTAGGATGTTGGAGAACCGGGAGGAAGTGAGGAGCGCTCCTGGTTTATCCCCCAAATCCCGGAACCGGGGCGAGCGGAATTCTTGGGAATTCCATCCCTGTGGACAATTCCTGGGAGAACGCGGGGCCGAGTCCCACAGGGCAGCTGGGAGTGGGAATGTCTGGAAAAGCAGGGATGGGCATGGGAGTGCCTGGAGATGTTTGTGCCATTCCCAGGAAACTGGAAAAGCAGCGATGGGGTGGATCCCGGTTCTTTTGAGCCCCTGATCCCATTTCTGGGAAGCTGGGAAGGCAGGAATGGGAATGGCTGGGAATGGCTGGGGGTGTCTGTGCCGTTCCCGGGAAGCTGGAGCAGCCAGGCCGGGCTGGGTCCCCGTTCCCAGTCCCATTCCAGGACAGCAGGGTGGGGATGGTCCCTGAGCCCCGTCCCGGCCTCCCGCAGGAGCTGACCACGGTGCGGGTGCAGGACCCGCGCGTGCAGAACGAGGGCTCCTGGAATTCCTACGTGGATTACAAGATCTTCCTGCACGTGAGCTGGGAACGGGGCACACGGGGGAGGCTGGGCTCGGGATGAGCCCCGGGACGGGCTCTGGAATGGGATTGTCCCCAGGGGAATGGGATTGGGATGAGCCCTGGGCCGGGCTCTGGGCCGGGATTGTCCCCAGGGGAATGGAGGGGATGGGATTGGGATGAGCCCCGGGATGGGCTCTGGAATGGGATTGGGATGAGCCCCAGGACGGGCTCTGGGCTGGGATTGTCCCCAGGGGAATGGGATTGGGATGAGCCCTGGGACGGGCTCTGGGCTGGGATTGTCCCCAGGGGAATGGGATTGGGATGGGCTCTGGGATGGGCTCTGGGCCGGGATTGTCCCCAGGGGAATGGCGGGGATGGGAATCCTCGGGATCCTGGATCAGGGGGATCCTGCAGGGACTGAGATCCTGGTCCTTGATCCCGTGGGGAGTTCCCATGGAGAATTCCCATCCTGGATCCTCTGTCCAGGCCAGATCCAGCCCCTTGAGCCCATGGGTAATTCCCATGAGTAATTCCCATCCCGGATCCCTCGGTGACTGAGACCCAGCCCCTTGAGCCCATGGGTGATTCCCAGAGCATCGTTCCCCTCCTGGGGACCATTCCCAGGGATTCCTCACAGGGATTCCTCCCAGGGTCATTCCCGGGGATCTCTCCTGGGGATCCCTCTTGGGGATCATTCCAGGGATCTCTCCCAGGGATCACTCGCATGGATCCTCAGGGACCATTCCCAGTGATCCTTCAGGGATCTCTCCCAGTGATCATTCCCAGTGATCCCTGAGGATCCCATCCCTGATCCCTGAGGATCCCATCCCTGATGATCCCTCTGCTCCCAGACCAACAGCCGGGCCTTCACCGCCAAGACCTCGTGCGTGCGGCGCCGCTACCGGGAGTTCGTGTGGCTGCGGCGGCAGCTCCAGCGCAACGCCGGCCTGGTGTAAGGGCTGGGTTCCCGGGATCCCCCCAAACTGACGGCACCCGGGGTCCCCACGGCGCCCAGACCAAAGCTCCACCCCAACTTTTCCAGGCCGGTGCCGGAGCTGCCGGGAAAATCCGCGTTTTTCGTGGGGAGCACGGATGAGTTCATCGAGAGGCGCCGGCAGGGGCTGCAGCACTTCCTGGAGAGGTGGGCAGGGGTTGGGGGTTGGGGTTGGTTGGGGTTTGGGATATTTGGGGTTTGGGATGGTTTGGGATTTGTGGTCTGGGATATTTGGGGGTTGGGATGGTTTGGGATTTGGGATGGTTTGGGATTTGGGATGGTTTGGGATTTGGGATGGTTTGGGATTTGGGGCTTGGGGGATTTGGAGTTTGAGATATTTGGTGTTATTTGGTATTTGGGATATTTGGGGTTTGGCGTCTGGGATTATTTGGTATTTGGGATATTTGGAGTTCAGGGGATGGGATTTGGGGCTCGCGATTTGGGGACGGTGCAGTGCCCCGGGGTGGCCAGGAGGTGGCAGCAGGGAGGGCTGGGTCACCCTCCTGTCCCACTCCTGTCCCACTCCTGTCCCTCCTGTCCCTCCTGTGCCACTCCTGTCCCCGTGGTGTCCCTGCTGTCCTTCCTGCCTGTGTGCCCGGGGTGGCAGCAGGTGCCAGCAGAGGGGCCAGCAGAGGTGCCGTGTCCCTGTGTGCCCGGGGTGCCAGCAGCGGTGCCGTGTCCCTGCCGGGTGCCAGCAGCAGTGACCGTGTCCCTGCCGGGTGCCAGCAGCAGTGACCGTGTCCCCGTGCTGTGCCTGTCCCCAGGGTGCTGCAGAGCGCGGTGCTGCTCTCCGACAGCCGCCTGCACCTGTTCCTGCAGAGCCAGCTGCCCGTGCCCGCCATCGAGGCCTGCGTGCAGGGCCGGGGCCCGCACTCGGTCACCGAGGCCATCCTGCGCTACGCCATGGCCGGGCCTGCCTGGGGCCAGCGCGGCGACGGCGGCGGCGCGGGGCTGCCTGGGGCCAGGTGAGGGCAGGGGCAGCGGGGCAGGGGCTGGGCTGGGAAACGGAGCAGGGGGGGCAGCCCGGGGCAGCTCCAGGACCTCCCCATGGATCCTGGGGCAGCTCCAGGACCTCCCCATGGATCCTGGGGCAGCTCCAGGACCTCCCTGTGGATCCCGGGACAGCTCCAGGACCCCCCTGTGGATCCCGGGACAGCTCCAGGACCCCCCTGTGGATCCCGGGGCATTCCCAGCTCCTCCCTGTGGATCCCGGGACAGCTCCAGGACCTCCCTGTGGATCCCGGGGCATTCCCAGCTCCTCCCTGTGGATCCCAGGACAGCTCCAGGACCTCCCTGTGGATCCTGGGACAGCTCCAGGACCTCCCCGTGGATCCCAGGGCATTCCCAGCTCCTCCCTGTGGATCCCAGGGCAGAGGAGCCCAGGCAGGGGAGCTGGAGTGTCCCTGAGGTGGGAACATCCATGGAATATCCATGCCCCTTTTCCAGCTGGGATGGAGCTGCCTGGGTGGGGCCGTGCCTGGGAATTCCCGACATTCCCTGGGTCATTCCCTTTCCCTGCTCTGGGGCTGTGCCTGGGAATTCCCAACATTCCCTGGGTCATTCCCTTTCCCTGCTCTGGGGCCGTGCCTGGGAATTCCCGACATTCCCTGGGTCATTCCCTTTCCCTGCTCTGTTTTCCAGCTGTGCCAGCCTGGGGAGCACCCAGGGCTGCCTCGAGAGCTTCCCCTACTGGGGTGACCTGGGCATGGACGAGGCACGGCCGGAGAGCCCCGAGCGTCCAGGACACCCAGTGACCCCCCTGGACAGCCCTGAGTGTCCAACCGGACATGGAGTGACCGCCCTGGACAGCCCTGAGTGCCCAGCTGGACATGGAGTGACCGCCCTGGACAGCCCTGAGTGCCCAGCTGGACATGGAGTGACCCCCCTGGACAGCCCAGAGTGTCCAACTGGACATGGAGTGACCCCCCTGGACAGCCCTGAGTGTCCAACCGGACATGGAGTGACCCCCCTGGACAGCCCAGAGTGCCCAGCTGGACATGGAGTGACCGCCCTGGACAGCCCAGAGTGCCCAGCTGGACATGGAGTGACCCCTAAGGAGAGCCTGGAATTCCCGAAATTCCCAGCTGGACACTGAGTGACCCCTCTGGAGAGCCTGGAATTCCCAGCTGGACACTGAGTGACCCCTCTGGAGAGCCTGGAATTCCCAGCTGGACACTGAGTGACCCCTCTGGACACCCCCAGGCCCCGCAGGCCTCGCTGGGAGCGGGATCAGCGCCACTGGGATGGCCGGACTGGGATGCACTGGGAGCACTGGGAGCACTGGGAATGCGGCCCCAGCCGGGGCCGAGCTCTTCCCCAGCACATTCCTGATATTCCCGATATTCCCAGCAGTGTTTTCCTCACTCTGCTCCTGCTCAGATCCCTCTGGAGCCCCCAAACTGGGCTCAAATCCCCAAACTGGGCTCAGATCCCTCTGGAATCCCCAGACTGGGACAGTCTGAGCCGAGCATTCTGCTGGGAAGAGGGAGGGATGGGGCTGGAATTTGTGTCCCCTTCCCTCTGGGGCTGCTCCAGGGATTTTTGGGAAAGCGGGAGCAGCCCGCGCGTGGTTTTGGTGTCTTCCCCTCCCTCAGCACTTGGTGTGGGCAGGAAATAAAAATAAATAAAAATTAAAATAAACCAATAAAACTCAAACTGGAAGTGGAGGAGATTTTCCGGGTTCCGCCGGGCTCGGGGGTGGGAGAAGCGCCGGGAATTTCGGGATTTGGGAATTTGGGAATTCCCCACCCCAGGCAGGGCTTTTGGGGAGGTTTTGGCTCCGGGAATTTTGGGAATCCCTTGGGGACAGCGGGAATGGCAGGAGGAGTTGGGGACCCCGGGTGCGGCTGTGATTGGCTGGGCCCCTCTTGAATATTCATTAAAAGTCATTAATATTCATGAGCGCGTCGCTGCCGTGGCCTGGATGTGCCCGGGATGGGATCGGAATCCAGGGATCCACCCAGATCCTATGGATCCACTCTGTGCCCAGGGATCGGCTCCAGAGGGATCGGAGCCGAATTCCAGAGGGATCCGAGCCCCGTTTGGGAATTCCGGAGGGATTGGGGCCGGCAGGGCCCGGCCACCATCTGTGAGGGAGGGGAGGGAGACCAGGAAAGGCAGGAAAAAAAAACAGGAAAAAAACAGGAAAAGCAGGAAAAAAACAGGAAAAAAAACAGGAAAAAACCAGGAAAAAAGCCAGGAGAAGCAGGAGGAGGAGGCACTGGATTCACCCTCACTGCAAAGGGGCCATTCCCGACCATTCCCAACCATTCCCGACCATTCCTGGAGCGGCCAAACTTGGAGAGGAAAAAGGGATTTATTGAGGGGAAACACCTGGATTTGGGACAGGGGAACACCTGGGTTTGGGATCTCCAGGGGATTTGGGATTTTTGGGAACACCAGGATGCGTGCCTCGGTTTCCCCACGGAACGGCTCCAGGAGGGATTTTTGGGATAATTCTGCTCGATGCCAGCGCTGGGTCCTCTGCAGGTGGCTCTGCTGCGGGAATCCCGTGGGATTTGTGGGATTTGGGGGATTTGTGGGATATTTGGGGCCCAGGGAATGCCGTGGGCTGTGCTGGCGTTGTCCCCACGCCGCCGTTCCTGGTCCCACCTGTTCCAGGGAAAATGGGGATGGAGACGAGGACACCACGGACACCCGGGCATGGATCTGGGACCCCACACCCCAAATACAAAACCCTGCACCCCAAACCCCAAACCCCAAACCCCAAAACCCAAATCCCAAACCCAAACCCCAAACCTGACCACAAACCCAAAACCTGACTCTGAACACCCAACCCCAAACCACACAGCCCAAACCCCAAACCCCGAATCCCAAACATGACCCCAAATCCTGAACCCCCAACCCCACTCCCCAAATCCCAAATCCCAAACCCAAAACATGACCCCGCACCCCAAACCTGACCCCAAACCCCAAACCTGACCCCAAACCCCAAACATGGCCCCAAACCCAGAATCCCAACCATGGCCCCAAACCCTGCACCCCAAACCGGACCCCCAACCCCAAATCTCAATCCTGACCCCAAACCCCGAATCCCAAACATGACCCCAAATCCTGAACCCTCAACCCCACTCCCCAAATCCCAAACCCAAACCCCAAACCTGACCCCAAACCCCGAATCCCAAACATGACCCCAAATCCTGAACCCCCAACCCCACTCCCCAAATCCCAAACCCCAAACCTGACCCCTGACCCCAAGCCTGACCCCGCAGCCTCACCTGTCCCGGTCCCGCTCACGGCTCCAGGTCGAAGGCGGGCGCCAGGAATTCCCTCGGGACGATCCCGATGTCCCGGCCGAGCTCCCCCACCCACCACCCGTGCCCGGGGTACTCCTGTGGGGCCGGCACCGGGGTCAGGCCCTTCCTTTGGGCTCTGACCCCAAATACCACAAAAAACACCCAAATCCTACAAAAAATACTCCAAATCCCACAAAAAACCCCCCAAATCCTACAAAAAATACCCCAAATCCCCAAAAAAAAAAAAACCCAAATCCCACAAAAATACCCCCCAAATCCTACAAAAAATACTCCAAATCCCACAATTCTGCAATCCCAAACCCGATTTTAAAACTCGATTCTTTCCCTGCCGAATCTCTAAACCTGGGCCTAAATCCAGCCCAAATTTCCTGAAATCCTGGGATTTTCCAGCATCCCAGGGGATGGAAAAAACCCCGAATTTATCCCTAAAATCTGGATTTATCCCTAAAATCCGAATTTATCCCCAAACCCCACAGGCTGGGCCGTTCTGCAATCCTGATTTTAAAACCACCCAATTCCTTCTCTGCCGAATCTCAGGCTAAGCCTGGGCCTAAATCCAGCACGAATTTCCTGAAATCCCGGGATTTTCCAGCATCCGAGGAGATGGAAAAACCCCAAATTTATCCCTAAAATCCGAATTTATCCCTTAAATCCGAATTTATCCCTTAAATCCAAATTTATCCCCAAACCCTGCAGGCTGGGCCATTCTGCAATCCCAAACCCGATTTTAAAACCCAATTCCTTCCCTGCCGGATCTCGGGCTAAGCCCGGGCCCAAATCCATCCCGAATTTCCCAAATCCCGGGATTTTGGGGGCGCGCGGCCCCAGACCCGCGGCAGCCCAGCTGCGCTTTGCCCCGCGCGGCGCAGGGAGAATTAAAAGCGCATTAAAAAGCGGCGGCAGCGGCGCTCGCTCCTCGGCTGGCGCTGCCAAATGGCCCCGCGCAGATGTTCGTTAATTATGCTAATTTTTATTAAATCATTAACGCCGAGCCCCGGCTCAGCAGAGGAGGCGCCTGAACCCTGCTCCGCTCCTGCCCGGCCCGCTGGAATTCCTGGGTTTGGGGGAGCGGGAGGAGGAGGAGGAGGAGGAGGAGGAGGAGGATGAGGATGGGGTTTTGCTGGAGTTTGGGTAATTAGGGCTTAATGAAGGCTCTGCTGCGCTGGGCGGGGAGGGAATTTTGGGGGGTTTCATGGGAATTTGGGATTTTTTTTAATGGGAATTTTTGGGGGTTTTATGGGAATTTGGGGGGTTTTTATGGGAATTTGGGGGGTTTTTATGGGAATTTTGGGGGGACTCTTACGGGAATTTTGGGGGGATTTTATGGGAATTTTGGGGGGTTTTTATGGGAATTTTGGGGGGGTTTTTTATGGGAATTTTGGGGAGTTTTATGGGAAATTTGGGGGGTTTTATGGGAATTTTGGGGAGTTTTATGGGAATTTTGGGGTTTTTTATGGGAATTTTGGGGGGGTTTTTTATGGGAATTTTGGGAGGTTTTTTAATGGGAATTTTGGGGTTTTTTAATGGGAATTTGGGGTTTTTTTAATGGGAATTTTGGGAGGATTTTATAGGAATTTTGGGGGGATTTTATGGGAATTTTGGGGGATTGCATGGGAAGGATTGGAAAGGAGCGGATGAGTGGGAAAAGGGATCCCGGGAGTGGTGTGGGGGACACTGGGAGCACTGGGAACAGTTGGGAAGTGGAGCAGCGTCCTCCGCATTCCCGGGAATCCACGGGAATCGGGAAATTGGGAATCTGGCGCCATTGCGGAGCTGGGAGTGGATTCGGGGTCACTGGAATTCCTGGGAATTGGATTTGGGGTGGCTGGGAATGGGATTTGAGGTCAGCCCGACTCTGTCCCCCCATCCCAGGAATCCCCAAAGTGGGAATCCCATCCCACCAAGACCGGTCCCATCCCAACGGGGTCCAGGTGTCCCATCCCAACAGGATCCGTCAGATCCCAACGGGGTCCACGTGTCCCATCCCAACAGGATCCACGTGTCCCATCCCATTGGGATCTGTCCCATCCCACTGGGGTCTCCATGTCCCATCCCAACAGGATCCATCAGATCCCAACAGGATCCACGTGTCCCATTCCAACAGGATCCATCCCATCCCACTGGGGCCTCCATGTCCCCATCCCAACAGGATCCGCGTGTCCCATCCCAACCCGCCAGAACCCACACGTCCCAAAGATCCAGGATTTGTCCAATTGACCATTCCTCATAAAAACAGCAAAGCAGAGCCCTGCCACCACCCCACCCTGCCCGAGGGACCCCGGGGTGACACTGGGATGAGACTGGGGTAACACTGGGATGACACTGGGATGACACCGGGGTGACACCGGGGTGACATCAGGGTGACATTGGGGTGGCACTGGGGTGGCACTGGGGTGACACTGGGATGACACTGTGGTGACACTGGGGTGACATGGGGGTGACACTGGGGTGACACCAAAGGGACACCAGGGGGACATGGGGGTAACACTGGGGTGACATCAGGGTGACACGGGGACGGACACTGGGGTGACACTGGGGTAACACTGAGGCGACACTGGGATGACACTGGCGTGACACTGGGGTGATATCAGAGTGACATGGGGGTGACACTGTGGTGACACTGGGATGACATCAGGGTGACATGGGGGTGACACCAGGGTGACACTGGGGTGACACTGGGGTGACACCGGGGTGACATCAGGGTGACATCGGGGTGGCACTGGGGTGACACTGGGGTGACACTGGGGTGACACAGGGGTAACACTGGGATGACATCAGGGTGACACTGTGGTGACACTGGGGGGACACCGGGGTGACACTGGGGTGGCACTGGGGTGACATCAGGGTAACACCAGGGTAACACTGAGGCAACACTGGGGTGACCCTTGGGTGACCCTTGGGTGACACTGGGGTGACACTGGGGTGACACTGGGGTGACCCTGGGGTGACCCTGGGGTGACATGGGGGTAACACGGGGATGACATCAGGGTGACACGGGGGTGACACCGGGCCCGGCTCCGTCCCGGTTCCCGGCCGAGGCCCGGCGAGCGCGGCACTGATCGTTGCGGCGCTGCTCGTTGCTGCTCGTTGCTGCTCCTTGCTGCTCCTTGCTGCTCTTCGCGGCGCTGATCGCGGCCGGAGCCCGAGGCGGGCGCGGCTGGGGCCGCCGTGCCGGGCTCGCTTCATCTGCCGGGCCCATCTGCGCCGCGCGCTCCCGCCCCGAGAGGCGCCGCCGCAGCTCCGCAGCGCCGTTAATGCGCTCCTAAATCACCTCCCCGGCGCGCTTCAAGGGCCATTGCCGCCGCCGCCGCCGCCGCCGGTTCATCTGGAGTGCACGGCGGAACGGGGGGCGCGGCGAGGGCACGGCGAGGGCAGGGC